GGGTTCTAGGGGCACAAATCTGGAACCAGGGATTTTCCTCAGACTTTTGCAGTCACTTGTGAGACAATTTGCCAACACTTGACAAAACTTCTTCGACCAAGGTTTTACACTGAGTGATTACTTTGTCAGAACCCTTCTAAGTGGTAGCATCCAGTAAGTTCCTGAGGAGGTTCACAGGCAGGACCATGCTGATTGTTGCACTCTGTTGTGTTTCTGTGAGCAGATACTTCATATAGAACCAGGAAAACTTTCTATAAATAAGGTCCTTGCTGCCTTTGTTTTGGTTATTGTATTTGTCACCCTTTCAAAATGAAAAGCAAATTCTTCCACCCTGCTCTATGTTTCTGTTATTGTGCCAATAGTGTAATAGTTATAAGAATATTAATTTAGATAAATTTGTATATCTAAAGAGGTACAGGGAGCTTTTTGTAAGTGATAGACCTGTATATATGAGCCAGCTGCTTCTTTCACAAATCTATGTGTTCTTTGTAACTGAATGCTCCTCTGATTGCTTTCCCTTCATTATAGATTCAGCTTAATTTAAATTTACTAAATTAATTTTTGCTATTTACTATACCTTATTTTACTTTACATCCATTTAAAGATCAAGTGGTTCTTTGTCTCAAAATTCATTTGGCTTTGATAATTATTTTTAAATTTACTTCTACTACTGCATTGGTTATATTAGGTTTAATATAAAAATAATTAAGACATAGCTCCCTTCAGTCTGGACTCAAGACAGGTTCAAAGAGGGGTTGGCTGAAAGACATTCACATCTTCACAAGAAAATGCCTTGTCATTTGATCTCCTTTTCATAAGGATTTTATTATAGATTGTGGTGATTGTGCTTTAAAATGCATTACATAGGTGCATATCATATAAGAAGAAAACCATCTGATTTTGAAATGTATATTGAGGATGTTTCTTGCAGTATTCCATCAGTTTGTTTCTGTTAGTAGGTTAAATAAATGACAGGGGACAGAGGGGTTTAAAATGAATACCTTGTACAACCTTCCTTCACATCTGCTGTGAATAAAACCAGAACAGAATAAAAACAGGTGTCAGTACAATGACCTTGATTTAATACTTGGGGAACGTTTGTAGAGCATTAAAAGTTCACAAGATGTCATGATGAGGAACCAGTTGACTCACAGGAGGATAAAGAGCAATTGCTCGACTCTGAAAGAGTTTGACATTTTCTGGTGTGTTGTGAGTGTCTCACTGAGGAGGCTGGCTCTGCTGGGAACCCAGTGCTCTGAGACATTTTTTGGCACTGGTCAGCATTTCATTAAGCCAAGGTTTAAAGGAGCACAGATTTAAGTTCAGGTCTTACTGCAGAGAGCAGTAATATATTTTGGATACTGCTGACTCATCTCCTCTCTGAACAGAAGCTGATCAATGCGTTGTTGCCACGTCATTTGAAATATAAAACAAGAATTTGGTGCAGTGGGGGATTAGATTTTATTGTTAAAAAATCAAGGTTCATCAGTCTGAGTCTGATGCCCTCTCTAAAGAGAGAAATTTTGAACCTTCACTGGCATCAACACATCTTGATAAGAGACTGTGGTCTCCATGCAAAAAATTAATACTTTAAATCATAATTGTGCACAGTAGAACAGCAAGGATGACTCCCCATAGAAAGCATAGGGCTACCACACAGTTACATATTCTTCAGTCTGAAATGGGCAGAAATTGAAAATAAATAAAAGACTTCACCACAGTCCAACAGTTCCCTGAAATTATCACATTGAAGTGTATTTATATGAAATAAATAAACATTCACTGTAAGAGGCAAACAGATGAGCTTTCCCTGGAGGCAGCAAGGCTCGGGACATCTTTTCAATGGGTAGAGTTAGTATAGAGGAGTCAGAGACCCTCATGGACAGCAGCACCTCATGAGAGCCTGGCAGCAGCTGCCCCTTATTTATACTGCAGCCTTGCTCTTTTTGCTTATCTCAGTTTGGCACTTGAGAACTCTGGAGTAGGGAGAAGCTCCCTGGTGCATTCGTATTGATGTTGGCAAGAGGCGTTCTTGTCGAGGCTGGCAGAACGCATCCATTTCAAATGGAATATACTGATTTTTTGGCAGTCTGGCTGAAATCTGATCCATTGCAATACATGTATGATTGTGGGCTAGTGCAAATGTGGCCTTGTAAATCATTCTTTTGACGTACTGGTGTGTCAGTGATATTTCTTAACATTCCAGTTTTCAGTCTTTGCAGTTCAGAATTAAACACTGCTGGGGCAGAGGAACTGTGGTAGTGCTTAAGAAGAATTCAGAAAACCAGATCTTCCATTGCACTGATAAAGTAGCTAACACTTGCTATTTTTTTTAGGATACACCTTTAAAATCAGGAAGAATTAAGAACCTCTAACTTATACTTCTAAAAGTTTTAAAACTGTTTTGGCTTTTATGAACCAGCAATCCCTTGGCAATCTTCAGTAAGGTGGTTTGGATTTTGTCTTTGCTTGCAACTAACTTCATAAAAGTGATAAATGTGAACAAGCTCTACCTGATCATTCTATAATTTTAAACAAGAGAACAAATATAAATTAAAAGGTTTTCCATTTCAATCTCTGGTCTCTTTGGAATTGTTTTTCCCTTCAGTCCTTGCTAAGCCATCACTAAGGCTGAGCAGCACACAGGAAGGTATCACACAGTCCAAAGCTGTGGCTGTTTAAGCAGACCAGAGCAAAAGTCTTTCCTCTTGCTTCACTGCTTTTCAGACAATGTCCACAGGTTTTAGTTTCTATATTTGTTCTTCCTGATGCCCAGGAATGTGTTTTGTTACGTGCTTGTATTTCTTTTTTTTCCCCAATCTCCTAGATCATTAGTATCTGTTGACATTTTTAAAGTCTCACTATTAGATTTAGATCTCAAGAGTACTGATGAGTGCAGGTCAGTTGTGGTTGTAAATAATGCCAAGAATTTCCATTGCCAGTACTTGGAAGAATTGAAGTAATAAAAAAGATCAGGCTGTGAGTGACAACTTAAAACCTTACTCACTAGACTGAAAAGGTTATAAAGTTCCAATTTAATTGCATATACTCCAAAATTTTAAAGCAGAATATAGAGAATTCCAGTAGCTCTATAAATACTTGACTGAGCTGTTCAGGCCTATTTTTCTGATGCTACATTCATTGCAACTATAAATTTAAACTAGACTGTGTCAAAGGAACAATTACAGTTTGTCACAAAAGGGAAAATTTAAGCCCATGTCCTTTTCTTTATAAATTATTAGACATATAAAATATATTATTTCCCCCCTTAAATTTTAAATTCATTTAATGTTAAGTTCACTGCCATCTGGACACATGGTTTAATGCATTTCTCAGGAGGGACTTACTCAGCTAAATTTTTGGTTCATTTCAAACAAAAAAATCTTTATAAAATAAGTTCTCACTGTCTGCAGAGAGAGAAATCCTGAGCATGCTGACCAATCTGTGTTTAGGATCATAAATCACATTCCATTAGGCATATTAGAAAACAAAGTGTTCTTTTCTGAATGTACTTTATGGAATATTAGACATGTGTCAGCATAATGGAGCTAAATCTTCAGTGGATATACTCTGTGTAAAATGGATCCAATTTGTGTTTCAGGAAGGAGGAAGTTTAACATTCCCTTTACACAGGACATTCTGCATTGCAATTTATTAGCATTGCAATCATAGGGGCTGGATTTTTTCCAGCTGCATTCATCTGACCTTGGATTTGGGTTCAGACAGTCCATTCTCCCCAGTGTTTTGAGTGGTTTTGTGCTGTCTGTATCTTTTAAACATAGAATATAGATTTGTATAGGTTGTGAAAACAATACCTGAAAGCATTTTGCCACGTATGCTAAAGTAATGGAAATAGTTTATTTCATTGCTTTCCCAAAGGCCAAGCTTCTTTTGATATTGCACATGCTCACGTTATCTTTAGAGTGTAGCCTTAATAAATGCTTTATCTTTGGCAGTAATGTGCAGAGCATAAGTGGTATTGGCCTTGGAGGGATTTTTGACTTAATTTGCTGGATGTGAAGCCTCTGTTTCCAATAATTTATTATGTTTCAAAACCATCTCAGGGAATGCAAAATGTGCACCTGAGGCTAGCTTTTATTTATTTCCAATCATTTTTGAACCTGTGCTATTTCCTGGCATGAAAAAGTATATATCAGTTCACCTTTTTTTCTGTCCCTCCCCCTTAACCTGAATATTTAAAGCACAAATAAAATCAATATGATCATGTATTGATTTTGTACAACATCTTTTGTATGCTTCAAAGTGCATAGCAAAATTAGAAATCGTGTTAAACTCCAAAAATAATTTGATGGCAGATTACGCTAAGTATTTAATCACTCCAAAAAAACCCAATCCTAACAAATACCTTGGCTGAATCTCTCATACCAAAATTGATTCTCTTGTACTGGATTTTAGACTTTGTAAAGTATATATTAAAGAGCTTAACTAGTAAATTAGAAGACAAGATAACTGCAGTGCAGATAAATGAACATTGCATAGAGAATTTTAACCAGATTTTTGCCTAATTATTTATTCTCTACTGTGTAGTAAAAATGAACAAAACTGACTCCATGGAAATATAGGATTTTGAATGATTGTTTTTATATAACTGGGAGCAGAGGGTGCATATCTGCATTAATTTGCATCTCATGTATAAGTTTCAAGGTATTTTTGGCAGGGTTCATCATTTATTAGACTTTTCTTCAGTGCTTGGTCTATGAGGAGCATTGTCTTGATTGGGAACCCAGCCCTCTCAGCTGGGACTTTAAAGAGAAAAGAAAGGAGCACAATTCTTCTATAAATATGAGAACTTCACATAATTCCTCCCTTGCTCACATTCCTGCACAGTGGAAGCCTCCCCACTCACTCACCAGAGTTACTGTCCAGCTTTGGTCATTTTTCTACCCAGCTGGACAAATGGGGTAAAAACCCAGGTGAAAAAGCAATGCTGTAAATCTCCTTTATCACCTCCTATGAAAGCTAAAGCTCCAGCCTGCAGAATGGATGGGCTTTGCTTCCCGTGCCCAAGTCGCCCTCCTGGAATCGATGGCCCTTCTGAGGGACATAGATCTCAGCGGGAGCCTCGCTCCTCACAGGCCCTCCAGAGAGATTTATGGGGCACTCTGTGCTCTCCTGGGACACCTGGGCCACCAAAGCACGCGAGGATCCCTGCACTAAAGCCCCACGGCAGCTGCCCTAGTTTATTTGTGCAATCCGCTCATCTACAAACAGGGCAAGACAAAGGTGGGGATGTCCCAGCAGTGCCTAAAGGGGCTGTGGGTGAAGGCCAGGAGCAAGGAGAGATCCCACAGTAGAGGAAAAACAGAGATGCTGAGCCAGAATGGGAATAAAAACCTGCAGAGCTCTGGAAATCAGAAGAGAATTGTTGTTAGGAGCTCAGGGGGCAAGCAGTGTTTGCCACAGTCCAAAAAGCTACACCAAGATTGGAGAGAGGAACAGCCAGGAAGGGCAGGGAAGGACAGGGAAATTCTTTCCTAAAGCCACTTTCCATGTGTTCTTGGTCTAATCCCTTTGAATTTTCTCTGTCCTTAGGAGTCAATTATTCTGGTTCTTATTTTAATGATATTTTGCTTTTTTAATTTTAAGAGACTGCCTGTCTTCTCTGCGAACCCACTGTAAGGCGAAGATCTAGGCAGATTTACCTCAAAGCCTCAGCCAAGTTAAAGTCCTATTACAAGCCATTGAAGTGATTTAATTTTATTACCTGAGGACACTTTTTCTGAGGAAAGTTAGTACATGCTGCAGTGCTCTGCTGAGTCTGGGTATCCTTCTTCCTCAGCCCTGTCTGAGCCCTTGGTAGGCAAACACCATGGATACAGCTCCAATACACACTGATATTTAAAGTGCAGTGTAAGGATAGAAGATTTTAAAATATTGATTTGGATTCATCTGCCTAGGTGACCTCTGGCATGGATATCATATTTAGCTGTGACCTTTGCCTTTTGCTTCTTTTTAATACAAAGAACTCAAACTATTCTGATGATTTTTTTAATTTTTTTTTTTTGGTAGCATAAGCCTCATCTGGCACTACTTGGTACAAAAAAGCTCCACATCAGAGAAACAAAGTGTAGTTTTTTTCCTTCCTACTAATATCAGAATGAACACTAGGACCAAAGGCTCTTATTGAAAATAATTCCTTAAATAATCACTTACCTTGAAGGCATTTGATCTGTATGATCTGAATGCAACTGCTGATAACTTCAGAGAAATAGAAAACTGTGTTAGAAATCACTTTCTCTTGGGGACTGAAGTCCTGTCCGTCACATGGTGGATTAGAGGCTTGGCAGCTCGCCAGCCCATCAGACAGCACGTAAATTCTTTGATGCCAATTGCATTAGCTTTCCTCTACTAATGTGTTGTAGAGCTTGGAAAATAAAAGAATGAAGGTCAACATGCCAGCATGTACCCCTGGTCCAGCAAGGGCTGCTTTTAATGTGCAGGAGAATGAAAAAGCTTCAGAGCCCGAGCTGCAGGCTCTGTGACCTTCTCCTGCGCCCAAGGTCCTGAGATTTTTGTCCTCAAGTCCTGAGTGCAACGAGTGGCTGTCCCAGGATGCAATTTGCTCTGAAATTCCCAAATGGACACAGTTTGCCTTCAACCATGATGGCCTGTTATTTATGTGCAGCTGCTGTGGGCTGTGAACCTGGTGCTGAACTCCGCTCTGGCTCTCACGCTTCTGTTCACTGGGAGGACCAGAGCGGGCAGGAATCAGCTCAGCTCAGAGGAAAAAAGCCAGACTTTGTGACTGATTTGAGCACCAGACAAAACCCTTGCTCTACGTGCATCTTCTTCCCCAGGGCTCTTGCTGGAGCTGTGCTACAGAGATGGATGGCAGGCCCGTGTGCTGCTGCCTTGTGCTCAGCCCAGCACGGCAGAGATGCTGCTCAGGTGATGGATGAGCAGGGCTGCTGCTGTGTTTGCAGGGTAATTAATTGCTACATCCTCCTTTCCCCCTCAGAAACGGGGAGGAAGGACCCAACCACTCCCAAAAACATCTGAAGGATGGCACTTGCTGGGAGGTGAAGCTTATGTGTTAGAGCAAAATCTATGTTAAATCTGTGAAATTACTGGCCTAGGTGTAGCTAATAATTAAAAAATAATCAGTTTGATGCAGAAATCCAGACACAACAACTGTTAAAGCCCTCTGTGACGGTGGTCACAGGGGTCCAAGGAAGAGGGAAGAGACGAGGATCTGACTCCATGTTTCAGAAGGCTGATTTATTATTTTATCATATATATTATATTAAAACTATACTAAAATAATAGAAGAAAGGATTTCATCAGAAGAGTGGCTAAGAATAGAAAAATAAAGAATGAATAACAAAGGCTTGTGGCTCGGACAGAGAGTCTGAGCCAGCTGACTGTGATTGGCCATTAATTAGAAACAACTGCATGAGACCAATCACAGATGCACCTGTTGCATTCCACAGCAGCAGATAACCATTGCTTACATTTTGTTCCTGAAGCCTCTCAGCTTCTCAGGAGGAAAAATCCCAAGGAAAGGATTTTTCAGAAAATACCATGGCTACAGCCCTCCAGTTTAATTTCCATCCTACCCAGAGTATACCTAGGAGATTTACACACCTTTCTTACTCCCCACCCTGGGCATCATGTTGTATTTTTCCCACTGTGTGTGGTTTGGGAGGCTCAGAAGGCTCCTGCCCCACTGCTGACACGGTGCCACAGCCCTTCAGTTCACACTTTGCTGCTGAGAAGGAGAAAACTGTGATTCCCTGGGTAGCAGCTGGCACGGGGTTTGGCATCAGTCAGCTTGTGAAACTGGGAGATTGACACTGAAACCTGCCTTGTGCCTAGTAAAGAGCTAGAGGATAAAACTAAGGAAGCTCTTTCATATGGAATGACAAAAAAAAAAAGAAAAAGAAAAGGTTATATTGGGCTTAAGTTGTTTTGGTCCAAAGATGGAAGGGTCTTATTTTAACCTCTGATTTTTCAGTGTTACACTGTAATAACCTCACTAGGGAGACAGGCTGTAAAGTGGGGAGCAATTTGTAATATTTCTCCATGACTGTTATGTGATCAATTTGCCCTTCAAGCTTGAAGTGAGTTTGGTTTGAAGTCATTAAAGGGGGATAGACCTCTCAAAGCAAGGGAACTCTGCTGTACTTCCCTTCCCTCACTCCTACTGATGATAATCGATGCTCATAAACCAGAGGCAAGGGCAACACTGCGAGAGCAACACTTGACAAGCTTGTAACCTTTTAAGAAAACTCTCATTGCTTGTCAAAGCCAGGGCTTGATTACACCATGTTATCTGACGTGCAGTGGAGAAAAGCTATATTACTTTGCTGGGCTAAAAGTGGGAACAACAAGATTATGTATGAACAACAAAGGAAGAACTTATTTTGATAATAAATGAACAGGACAGATGATGGATGATGTGGAAATTATAGTGAAAGAAATATTGGAGTAATTTTTAATTGCTTAATTTTATCCCTTTTGAATGAGAAAACATATCTTTCATGATTTCATTGGTGGTGAAATGTAGGCTATGTATAAAATAGGGATTTGGCATGAGGTTACATCCTTAGGTATATACAAATCTTGTTCTCACTTTTGCTCTAAGATGTACTAATAATATCAAGAGAAAGAAATATTACTTATCTGCAGGTCTTGGAGGAGTTTTGATCAGTGCCAAGATGAGTCATGCACCTTTGGATGACTGATTTTCCTTTGTACATCCTGCCCAGGTCTTCTATAGCCATCCAAATATTCTTCTCATTTACAGGGACTCTGGCTTTTCAAGGTTCATACTGAAAAAGTAATAATATGACCTTGTGTATGCTATAGGATAATTGCAGAATCTTGGTCATATAAATCACAAGTAAATTTATAGGATTCATACAGGGCATTCTGGTACATAACACCCTTTTCCTCCTGGTTTCTCTTCACCTGAAGTTTTCAGAGTAGTCTAGTAATGGTTTTTCATTTCTGCTTTTAAGCAACTAGTTTGAAAATTTGCAGCATTTAACCAGATTAGGTTTTTTTGTTTCAATACTATTTGAGGTACTGGTTTGGGAGAATACTCACAGATTTCTGTAAGACTGGTGGTTTTGTGTAAAGTATAGACAGAGAAATTAGAATTACCTTTTTTTTGATACTTCTGATGGAAAAATGTTTTTTTGGAGTTGCTTTAATAATTTTATGCCTTGTGTGTGACAGAACCAACAGCAGATCTTTCTCATGCCAAGCTAAGTGGGAAATTGGACTGACTTTAAATCAAAATATTAATCCAGAAGAGAAAAGAGGTTTTGCTTACATTGTCTTAAAAATGCTATCTGTGAAAAAAAAACCTTCACCCACATATGTTGGCACATGGATTTGAAATACTAAACTATGGAGAGGTATCTTTGCTTCAGCAATGGCTGTTTCTGAGTCCATGTATGAATCCCTCTTATTTCACCCTTCAAGCAAGTTCAGTAAATAAGATGAAAAATTTAGTTTTGTGTCTTCTAGTTTTGTATGTGTTGCACTGGGGAGGATGGAAGGAGGAGCCATGCTAGTCTGTTAAGCAAATTTTCCTAATTTTGACACATATTACAATAGTAATCATCCTCTAAAAGTTAAATATATTTTTAATCAATTTTTTCTGCAGTTTTCTCTCCTTTATTTCATGTTTTCTCACTGAGGATGTGGTCACATAATTCCTTGATTTCTAGAATGGCTTAAAGGAAGGGATGCAAATTTTCATGAAGATGGCAGGAACAAATGTAGGAAGGTTATGATTTTCTAATTATTTTGCCATAAGTGGAGGTTTTTCTGACCCACATTAGGAGATTTGTCTCTCAGGTCCCAAACTTCTCACTACTCCTCACTGCTAGGCTGCATTTCACAAACCCCTTTGTTTTAACTAATTCTTGTTCAGTTCTTACTGAAGAGGTAAAAACTTTTAGACAAGAAGCAGAAGGAAGTAGCCAGAAGCAAGATCTCTCTATTATTTGGGAGGTAAACAGATTTATATCTCTTAAAGTAGTGATTAGTAAATCCCTCACCATTTAACTCCCCTCTGGCTAGTGTAATAAAATTACAGTTTATCCCAAACCAGAAATGTGGCAATAAAAATGTTCCTCATAGTGACACTGAAGTCATTAAGCATTTTTTTTCTATAAGAAAGGAGAATAGCTGAGCTAAAAATCCTACAAATATACAATAGCACTTGGATTATTTGTGAAGATACAGGCTCAGTTCAAGTAAAATAACATTCC